ATGGCCTGAAAACAAAAACCGGCTGCTTTGACCTGGTGAGTGCAGCTCTTCGTTGCCACAGGCCCTGCATAAATGATAGTTGTCTTGCAGCAAATCACGGACGTAATGACGGGATTCTGGCCCTCACCGGACGGTGCTATGCCAAAAGAGGAGCCCGCATGTGGTTTTCGTAATGAGCGCTGCGACTACACGATGATTATCATTGCCGGTGTAATACTGACAGTACTGGTCTGCAGTATGTGATCGCTCTCATCATGATTCGAGTGTGGTACGTCCTGCAGTACTTTCTGTACTGGAAATTTCTCCTACCTAGTTTTCGTTCCATTCAACGGGTCGGCAAAAGAATCTCCCTGGTATAGATCCATCCGTTTTCTTCTATATTCAGATATCGTGGAAGAGGCCACGATCCAGGACGGTGGTTGCACCTTACAATTAGAGGCAAGTATGCCGTCATGGTGCTAAGGGCTGCTTTTCGGGAAAGCGGAAAATTATCCTAGCAAATTGATTCTTTAGGGTTGTCCACCATCTATCATCCATTTCCTTCCCGCCTCGCAATTCATGCAGGTCTCATCTCCTTATAAGTACTGAACAGATCAAAAAAAACCTTGAGCGACCTTTGCTGACCCAGTCCACGCTGGAATTGTGAGATGAAGTGGTTTGTCTCCAGGGCGATCACTGGAAATAGTAGTGCTTCCCGACTTGATCACATCCGTACAGATTCTCCCACGACCCCTACGAACTATCCAAAAAGAAGCAATCTGAAGAAATTTGGCACAAAACGGGTGGTTTCTAAGCTATATATTAGGGTGTCCACAAAGTTCCAGCAGGTCCATTAAGAGGCAGATCCGGTGATAAGCGCGCACTGCAGCCAAGCAGACTAGTAAGGAGAGTTATAGCAATCTTGCATTCTTCGCGGATGCGCTCGTTATCTTATTACAGGACAGAAAGGGCTAATAATGGGAATGGCATAATGCTCATGGGACCGCCCATCCGACTACCGCGGAATGTATCTTGAATAGAATCAAAAGTGGCTAGAATCAGAGAGTGACGCTTGCACCCCAAACCTTCGAAAGGACATGTTTAGACCAGCACTCATGTCTCATGTCTGCATACTACAGTATAGTGGTGTTATTCTGTAGTGTTCCGTACTATACTAATCATTTGCACGTTTCAGTGAGAATCGTTCACTGGCAAGAATGCCGTGGAGAATTTACCGGGATGATTTCAGAGTGATTAACGAGGACGAAGTTAAGTCTATGGTAAGTCACACTAATATTCAGGAGCGTTGAGCGTAGGAGCATAATTGAACACTGAGAGTGTGGGGCTGCAGTAAAGCTGATGAATGGAGGTGTTGAGAACAGCAAGGTTTAGAGAGTCACTGAAAGACTCAATGACGCATTATTGTTCATCGATCGATTGTTTCAGCTATCGATTGGATCGACGTCAACAAAGCTGTCGAATTCGACGTCATTCGCCAAGCACCATGCCGTGCTTGGTACAAACACTCATGCCTCATTTCATGTCTATCCCCAACGACGTCCAATCACTTTCAACCGCGTTGACATGCAGTTATTGACATTGGTACGGTAACTGACCGTATCCTAAGGTTATCTGAAGCTGCAGTGATTAAGGTGATGCTTTCAGATGAAGCAATCAATCCATGACAACTTGAATCCATTCCTTGGCATGTCATTCAACGAGAAAGATGAAATGATACTGCTATGGAAATATTGCTCACGTGGTACTGTGCAGGTACAATTTACTGCTCCTTGTGCTAAAATCCACACCTAAGCGGCTGATTTGCTTGTCATGAAATAATGAGCGTCATTTAGGACATCATATACAACAAAGAGATGGTACTGGATGCCAAGTTCCACGGCGCTTTCATCAGAGACATTACATTGGTAAGTAGAATTGTTGAAAGTGCTGAATAATTTTCCGGAAACTTTCATTGTGGGAGAACTTCATTCAAGGAACAAGGTTGCAGGGTTTGGAATATCTCCACTCGTCTCCTATCGGGTTCCACGGTTCACTTACCCCATGGGCTTGTCTAATCGATCGAAACTGGATGGTTAAACTGACAGACTTCGGTAGGTGTCGTGAACACGTTAACTCGCTCCCTGTTGACCATGGCAGGCATGTTCCTCCCATGCGAAGGGTGGGCCGCTAATTTAGGTGGATTTCTTTGTGTTAAGTGCCATTGATGTGACATTTTCCAGGAATCGCTGATGCTTTGGAGCGATGGGAAAAACAAGGTTTGATTGCAACGGAAACATTGAAAGAAGGTGATGACGAGGGGAAGAGCGGTTCTCTGCAGAAAACAAGTAAGTTTTAGTGCATTTTACAGGTTCTCATACTGTCGAAAGTAACTTCACCAGAACCCAACGGGTTCCTGTGGCCATGTTACTGTACGCGTACCGTATCCGAACGTACAGTACTGTGGGACTGTATTGTAGTCCTATCGAGAACAAGGACAAACTGACGAGTCACAATTCCCTTCAATTTCAGTCAAAAAAAGACAAAGACAAAGTAGACAAGATGAAGTGCGCAGGGTTGGATTAAGCTCGTCGTATGCCTGCAGTCGGCCTAAGAGTAGTTTACCGCTGAATTTTCAGCCACTGCAGGCCCAATTTTAGCAGTAATGGTGGCCAGCGTGAGTAGCTTTGTATTA